CACATTCCCTCCACTATTAGAGGGGATGAAGTCGAACCCAAAGATGGAATGTCAATGAACATTGCTATTGTAAGTTACCATGTTCTTCCCCGCCAAAATCTGTCTATGCTGAGTCAATCCACCATCTTATAGAAAGATACTCGTCGGCCGCCGTCAACAAGCCACGTTAGCCGGTCAACATCACCCAAATCTCTCACACTAAAACCACTCCAGTTCGACTGCGCAACGAACAGATGGCCTCTCCCGCCTATTCAATCCGTTAATCATTCATTCTGGGATCCGATTCGTGATGCTTTAAGGGAACAAGTGCGGATAGAAAAGATGGTATGTTCTCGTGTTCGCGGCTTAAATATAACTACCCCATCATAGGTAAATCTTTCATCAAAAATCTAACAACTTTGCTTTCTTTGGGTATGATGTAGGAAGATACTGAGGACTGGATAAAGCAGCTACCAAATGCCACTGAAATGTTGGAGCCGGAGACTGACGAATGTAGGCATGATTAATTCATATTTTATCGGAAGCCGGACTTTGTGAGGATTTAGACGAAGGAATGGGGTTTTTTAACCTTTCCAGTCAATCAATCTCTTGGTTAATTTTGACATTACAGAGATACCCAACTATACTTGAGAGAAACATGAGTTCTACCAACCATATTTATTCCAATCTGGTGAACTATTCTTTAAACCCTACATGACAAACAAGGGCCAATTATCATAGATATATGCAACGATAAAGAAGGGATAGCAAATACTTCCGATTTTATATTTCATAGAACGATCATATTGTTTAAACAACGATGTTCCGCCTCCTTCTAGTTATTTTTCCATCATTTATGTATTAACTCTTTCAATATCATCACTTTTTTTCCTTCTTTCTATCATGTCTCGTCATTAAAAAAATCTGCGAGGCCAGGTGTATTCATCTTCACCTCTATGGTGTTGTTCTACCTCGGTTGTAGGAAGTTCAATTCTTGGTTCTGAGTGCAAATACCTGGGCACCATCGACAAGCCTACGCTCAGTGTTTTGTCGTCCATTAACAAAATCAGGATAGTTAAGGGTCATCTCGACAGCGCCGTTGATGATGTTATCCACAGCCTCAACGCCAAGCATAAACGAATGGTCCTGGTTACCGACCTCATACCTCCAGCTTCCGAATCGGCCACGGGAATAGATGCCCTGGTCAAGGAGCTTGGGCAGAAGTTTAGTGAGAACGCCCTCTCGCTCAAGCGTTGGGGTTGGGTAGCCGTGGTCAAAGCGGCGGTGGTAGGTAGAGACAATCTCGTCAGTGGGCTTGAGCATGGAGGTGTTGACAAGACCTTGGATGCACTCTGCGAGTAATTTATCGTTATTTACGGGCTTGAGGGAGGACTCAGAAACTTCTAGCATGATCGACCAGTAAGGGCCAGGCTTGGAAGAGGAGTCGGCGGGTTTAGAGCCATCGGCCAGCTGCTGGGTTGGGAGGGAGGTGGGGGTTTCAGGGCAGTTATATGGAGAGTAGTTGGAGAAAATGGTGGCTCTGTAGAAGGGGCAGTTGTCTTCTGGGAAGTAGAGCTGTTGGCAATGTTAGAGTTAGGAACTTATATATCAAAGTTATAATGTGATCAAGGGACCTTACCCAGCACTTGTCTCCAATTCTCTCTGGGCGTTCACCTCGGATGCCAACACCGATGACGTGGGTGGAGGAGTAGAAGAGTCCTTTACTAAGACTAATCAACTCCTTATCACCCATGGATTCAGCCAAGGCATCAACAGCCATGGTGGAAACAAGTTTCTGGTATTTAATGACTGATCCATCGGCCAGAGTGGCAGTCTTGTTGGCAGCATCAACTTTAGTAACAGCAGCCTGTTTACCAAAGCGCTTCTTCTCCTTAGGGAGCGTGTCAGCAACAGCGATCCAGATACCACCGGTACCACCACGGGCCGGGAAGCGGAAAGTAGCGTTGGGTCCCCAGTTTCCAGCAGTCTTCTGCAAAATGACGTTGGTCGTGACAGCTTTGAGGTTTGGTGCAGCTACACGTTCACCGAGCCATGCGCATTGCATCTAACGCCAGTTGATTAGTCCAGCAGCTCCCCATGGCTACGGTAACCAAAAGTCATACCTTTGTGGTAGGAACAGCCCAGACTTTGAAATTATAAGGTCTCATGAACAGATCGGCAATTCCTACACCCATCATGCGAACAATCCACTCATCGAAGTCCTTAGGTTTGGTATTGGCTACACGAGCCTCCATGGCAGCGTCGATCATGCCATCGATACATTTCACCTGTTCTTCCTTTGGAAGCATGGAAATGTTGTTCTGGAAAGGGTATGGCACCCAGGCCTCCTTGCAGCGGACATAGGAGATACGTTGGTGAGTGTACCAGTCGTCGGGCTTAGGGAGAGCCTCGTCAATGCAGTCATCGAAATATTTGTAGTGAGAGAAAATGACATGACCGCCAACATCGTACAGCTAGGGAGGTATAGAATAAGCTAGCTGTGATACGTAAGTTGGTTGGGGATAAAAGGGTGTGTGACTTACGAAGCCTTCAGGGGTCACGTCAGTCGATGCCAGGCCACCAGGGACTTCATTTGAGTCAACAATCATCCAGGAGGGACCATTCTATAGTTAACAAGGAGCATCAGTAATAAGAAGATGAGTTGATATACAATGTTGCAGACCCACGATCTGGTTCAGCCTCTTCGCGGCGCCTAAGCCAGTAGGGCCGGCACCGATGACAAGGATGTCAACATTACTATTAGTAGAAAAAAACAGTCAGAACAGCTCAATTGAAGGGAATCAAGATGCTAACGCTGAATATATGACTTACGCGTCTGCTCGAGGCATGCTGGAGTAAACGATGCAAGCTGGTCGAAGCTATATGTCCGTTGAGGCGGGGCGGAAGAAAGAAGCTCAACGTCTCAAGTCTATAGAAAGGGGTACCGACGCCAGGGAAGATGCGATGAAAACTTTCGGATCAGCGGGAACAGCAAGACAAATAGAGTACTATGAAGCAAGAAGAAGAAGAAGACAATAAGAAACAGAGAAGCAAAAAGAGAAGACGTTATAAAGAGCTTTAGAGCCTCCCAAAAAACTTCCCCCTGAAAGATCCTCGAGAAAACGGGCGGATGAGCAAGCCCACTAGTTATGTAAGCAGGTAATCACGTGAAAAGGCTTACGCCACGTCAGAAGCACGTGTATATCATGTGATATATGAACTTTGGGAAGCAAAACGACATTCCATGGATGACATTGTGAATAGATCATGATGCACTGGATCCATGGGTAGATATATCCATCTCAATGACACAATTATAGCTTCCAGCAGGAAATTAAGATACCCATGGATATGTTTTTTGAAGATATATGATAAATAGTCCAATTTATGGCATCCGGCTTTTAGATGGACTGGAGGCTGAGACAATCACCACCGAGATACCTAGAACCCATTTACTGTTGTAAACAGATACATGCTATCTTGATCACATAAGAGGTATAGATTGTTTAAGTCTATATCCTAATGAAAAACATACTATCTATTGAGCAGGTCGATAATGGTATAAACTAGTACACGGGTTGTACGTTCCTAGCCGCGTCGTTAGGATGATTATATATCACCATACTATATACTATTCAACTAGGATGACATCGCATCTTAACTATCTACATCTACAACAAAACTATAGACATGTTCTGCCTAGATGATAGTTGAAGAGGCGACATCACCTACAAGCGGTTACATCATTTAGTAGAGGTTTATGTCTGGCTCCAAAGGAGCGACAACCAAACTTGGAACGCAACACATGATATAACACAGTTTTATTTTGTATGACTCATGCTCTCCCTCTTCCGAGCGAGTAAGAGTTGAGATCTCAATCGTCGCTTCCGCCCCGCTACTTGTCCTACGGGTATAAATAACCCTCTCCGCCCCCTTGCGCGGTGTGCAACTTTTCTTTCCTTCCCTTCTCTTTCCCAACTGTCTTTCTTTGCATGCTCCCTTCAGATATCATCAAACCATCATCTCTGCCTTAACCGTCTAGCTCAAGCAGTCGCTCATAACTACCTATCACCCTTCCCACCCTTCTCCCTCTCTAGCCATCACGATGTCGAGCTCAGATGCCACCAAAGAGTACTTGCCCCAGGAAATTGAAAGCCTGCTCGTGCAAGACCAGAGAGCGACCCTGGCTGAGTCTAGGAAGCGCATGCGGCAGGCCTCGTCTGCATCACTTGCCTCCACATCTTCAGATTTCTTAGCCGTCAAAATAGATGCACTTGTGTCTGAGGTTAACCATATCGAGGACTGTAAGACGGCAATTCATGGTTTGTCGCATCTTAGACGCCTCCCACCTCTTGTTGCGTCGGAAAGACTAAAGAGCCTCGCTCTCGCGTCTACCCCTCTTAACGACGAAATCCGGGTTATAAAACGCCAAAGGAGGCTTATCCAAGAGGACATGGAAGAAGCGATGCCTAGATATAAAGACCTTGAGTCTGCATATATCGACGCGATGGTGTCCAAGGTTGCCACAGCATCGGGCAATCAGTCAAAGTATAAGTTCAAGGCAAATAAATTTCGGGTTGCGGTGGAAGAATTCTATGAAGCTTCAAAGATGGAAGGAGCTGACGAGTTTAAAAAACTCGCGCACTGCCACGTTCTTGGGTGGTTTCTATCAAAAGATGTGAGAGCAGCACATCTAGTTCCAAAGAGTCTTGATGAATGCTCCGTCGCACACCTATTTGGAGCTGGGACCATTACTATTGACGATCCAAGAAACAGTGAGCTTACCACCCTTCTAGGGATAGCTTATCTCTATTAAATTCTAATATATATTGTTAGGCTTGATGTTGCACCAGCATATCGAAATGGCAATGGATAAGGGCAGCATTGTCATTGTTCCACTAAAGGCACCTGAGGCAAGGGAAATGGTCAAGTGGAAGGTCCTCGTTACCGACCCTACTCTTCTTAACCACATCATATTACCTAAAGTCAAGTGGAAAGTACGAATAGGGATCCCACTATCCTCTTTAATTCTAAGTCCGGAAGCGTTTACTAATATAATAATATTTATTAGGATATACACGGCAAGACTTTGACTTTCCTTGGGCACAATCGCCCAGCCAAAAGATACCTCTACTTTAGATATGTTATGACATATCTTATGTTAAAAAACAAGGGCAGATTGGACTGGGCCCAGGAGGTTGAGACAGGGAAGTGTATGTGGGCTACCCCTGGCAAGTATCTACGCCGCTCAATGCTGGTAAACCTCGCTCGACGCGTGTCCGACCATTACCTCCCCGAGGTATTCTACAACACTACCACATTCGACGTGTCAGATAATGGCACAGATGCGCAGGAAACCGAAGACTCCCTAGCTATTATCCTCGCGAATAACATGCTTACTCACCACAAAGAGAAAGAGGATGAGGATGAGGATGATGAAGATGATGACAAAGAACCTAAAGAGTAATTAGAATGTATGTTTACCTTACGATCCTAATTTCGTTTGTTAGTTACGGCCCAGCTCACGCCTTCTTGCCCCAATGCTTGAAATATGGCATAGCGCGTGCTGGAATCCTATGTTGTCGTGAATCAGTCGCGTTTAATCCCAAATGGCAGTTTATTTTCTCCTCATACTCTCATTGAGACTTCCAATATCTTACTACAGTCATATGTTATAGCTATACTAAGTATCCAAAACTGTTTCTAGAGCAATTTCCCCGTCGGGGTAATGTACTTTCTTTATATGAGGGAAATTATTTACCAGTACGTACTGGATGGCTAGTTAGTAATCCCAAGGGCTTCTTTGTCTAGCCTTGACTTCTCTTTATCCCCATATATATGTATATTCCATCCCATTGATATATATATCGTATCATTCCAATTCTTTCTTCCATAGAATAATACATCTACACGTGACTTAGCCTCCGCCCGCCCATCTCCTTTCCTATTTGGGAAAACCGGTTTAGGTAGCTTTGACGACACGAAATTCCTTGTGACGAACCTCAGCTCAACTTCGTATTTTCATTTATACGCACCTACTTGCCATCCCCTCCTACATCAACGTACAAGAAACTATTTTAAACCGGTGCCGTGGAACAAGATGCCCACTGCGAGGCGCAGCGAAGTCCCTTGCTGGAAGTTTGAACCACAGAGGATGTACGGGCAAGATGTCCAGCCTTCCCTGATAGAATTCCCAGTCGGTGACATGGTCTTTACAACTCGTGCTACCTCAATATCCCGGCGCTACTCGAATCTGGAGCCAAATCTGAGATCAATAGTTATCGCTGTTGATGGAGCATGCAGTGCAAATGGGATGGCAACCCCTGAAGCTGCTATCGGTGTCTATGTGGGCAAGGACTCCGAGCACAATGCCGCTGTCCGGCTCGATTCAGGATGGGCCACGAACCAAAAAGCAGAGTTAATAGCGGGCATATACGGGCTAGATGCTGCTAGAGAAATTAACGACTATGGCGTCGATGGGAAATCATTAACCCAAGTTATCATCAAGTCAGACTCTGCTTATTTGGTCAATGGTTTAACCCAGTGGGCTGGACGGTGGGAGACAAATGGCTATATCAATGCAGACGGCCAGCAAGTTACAAACCACTACCTTTTCAAGGAGCTTACCTGGCGAATACGTGAGCTTGCGGACTCCCGTGTCAAAGTTTACTTCTGGCATGTCCGCAGAGAATATAACGAGGAAGCCGATCAATTAGCCGGAAGTGCATTAACACGCTAAGGACGACTATTTAAATAGCCACATGATACCGAGATGATTTCAACCATTTATTCTTTAATGTTCATCTGCCAATGAGAAAGTTTTCGTCGACGACAAACAGCAATTAACACTAGGAGGGTCTATTTTTTTTCTCTACACGCGTTACACCTATGCGAAGTTATGAAGAGAAGTTGATTTCGGTTTCATTCTTCGATTTCATACTTATTCCCTCAAACAATATTACCGTTATTCCCTTTATACTATGTATTGATATCTAGGGATTAATTATTTCAGGCATCATTTATTAACTCTGATGATTAATAGCACCTGACGGATATAACGTTATTTCGGGTTTAGTCTCTTGCAATGTGGTGAAGTACTTGTAGGCACCAATCACCGTAGAATGAAACCCCTGCACTAACGACCTTCTTCCTCTTATTAATCGTCTTGAATGTACTCCGTATATACCCTAAATACTGACAAAACTAATTAACTGCTATACTGTCATTTTATCTATTCCATCATTTATTGCTTTGATAATTATCAATATCTAAGGCTCATATGAACACCATGGAATTCCGAGGTGTTCGCACGTCTCCCAAGCCTCGTTGGGAAGGGGGCTTGTTTCGGAGTAGTTAATTTTAACGTCACAAGAAGTCTTTCAACTTCAACACTGTCAATTTTCGCATCTCCAACTGCAAAAAGCACAGTCGCACGGGGATTTCTACATAACAGGATGACGCCCGCCAAACTGCCCTCGTCCAGTGGGCCGGACAGCCACTTTCAGGGGCAGCCAGTCGTCATATCCGCTGATGGAGCATGCAAAGGAAACGGAACAGGACGCGGAAGAGCCTCTGCAGGTATCTACGTGGGCGACAGATTCCAATCCAACGAGAGCATACCCCTAAATTTGGACAATCCCACAAACCAGAAGGCGGAGATAATGGCCGGCATCCACGGCCTTAATAAGGCACGAGAAATGGACGGAGGCCCTTCTCGCCATGTTATTATCAAATCCGATTCCCAATACATGGTGAAAGGTGTTAATGAATGGAACCACAGATGGGAGTCAAACGGATATAGGGCAGCAAATGGCCAGCCAGTTGCTAATGGAGATCTCTTTCGGGAGCTTAACGCGGCGAAAGACTCACTGGAAAAGTCAGGTGTAAAGGTCGATTTTCAGCATGTACCTAGCGAGCAAAACCGGGATGCAGACCATTAGGCCAACCGGGTGTTGTCTGACCATATTCCTGAGCCGTACTTCTCCCAGAACAAGCAAGATGGCAGTCACTATAGATTACAAGACCGAAACCCTGATACCTGGTCTGATTCATACCTAGGGCTCCTTGAGTCTAGTCTTGACACTGACCCACCTATTATATCATCTGATTCTAGTATTGAGAAGTTCCATGAGCATTTCCATCAACTTGGACCCTTCGACCACCAGGATGACTCATCTGGCAACGATGTAAGCTTCTTTGGACACCAGCTTGTCTCTCCGGAACCCCATCTTGAGCCGGATGACTCTTATGTTCATGAGTCCTACGATGATGATTGCCATCATGACGATTCCTACTATGATGATTCCTACTGTGACGATTTCTATTATGATGACTAGGTGTACCGTGGTAACCAAAGACGGGACAATGTCACCTACTTACCCTTTGTATGGTATAGCCAGTACATCCTCCACTGTTACAAATTGTATCGATTTTATCATTTTCAAGATACGGAGGCCAGGCAATTTACGAGGTTAGATTGTATGATGAGCGCTATGTTTTATGTTCTACTTGAAACATGTCTGTTAGGTGGCTTATTACTGTCAATTCCTGGTGATACAGGATCGCTCTCATTAATGCATAACCCATTCTAACGTGAATATGATATGACATTCATGCAACTCGATGTTACGGAGAGGATAAGTGTGATAGTGAGTACATCGATGCCAGGCGTCCTATTTACTATTAACTACCCACTAGAAGAGTTAAAACGTATATAAGTGGCAACAGTCTTAAAGAATAGTTATGGTTCATCATCCATAATGGAAAACCACTACTAGAATTTATGACGTCAAGCTAACTTCACTTTCTTTTATATAACTAGTTAGTCCTCATATATCTAACGGATAAACATCTTAGCTTATAAATTTATCTACGGTTCATCTAGGTCTATCCCCTTTAGAAGACTCTGCTTGCTTACGGCCTGATCAAATGAAGGCGTCGATACTTTGGCTAGGTCGTCTCTGGCCACTACCAGTCCTCTTGAAGCGCAAGCGGAAAATAAAAAAACTGGTTACGGATGCCGCAGTACATGACAAACAATGCTCCCCAGCGCCAGGCCATCTTCAAAGCCAAACCTCTCCACAGCCCGAAGATCATCTTCTGGCTGAGGATCCACCGCAGCCGGAGTTGGTGGAGGCAGAATTGCCAAAAATTTATCGTCTTAATGATGATATTATTTACTACCTTGCTACTTCTATTCTACCTCTGGATGACGCAGCAGCTTTTGCACTCACCTGCAGAGCAACTTACCAGGCCACAAATGGGAAGAAAATCCTGCAGAAACTAAAACTTGAACCCGTTCGATATCGTGCACAATTTCTACAGCGGCTGGAACTCGATTTTCCAGGCCACGTCCTCTGCTATCTTTGTGCGGAATTCCATAGTAGACTTTATGGAACCTGGACTGGAACTGAACTGACGCGTTGTGACGGCAGAAGTAAGATGCTAGAAATTAGCATGGGATGGTCATATGTACGTTATAGGCACGCAAAGGAGATTGTGAATCACTATAGGCTAGGCCCAAGATATGGACGCAGTGAGGTTGAGCTTCTCCCTCTGGAGCCTCACGTCAAATGGAGACCGGATACCGATATCACGCATATAATACAACTCAGCGTCAAATGTCTTGATAACATAGGGGATTTTGACTTGGTCTTTCGGCGGAATGTATGGGTGGAATATAATTCTACACGTCCAGAATCGAGAGACGCGGCAATTTTCGCCTGCTATTCAGATAGCCTTCATCTTTGGGTGGGATACGAAGGAAAGGACTTGGAAAAGGAGCTGCTTCCGACATGCTATCGGTGTGAGATGTGTGGCGCCGAGAGACAGTTTTCTGTTAACTATTTACCGAGAAAGCCTGGGTATGCAGTGCTCCGAAGCACCTTATGGGAAAGTGTCGGGCATTGTGATAATTCAAACGATGGGCTGTGGGGGCATATATGTCACGACGGGTTCCCGGCAACGAGGCATGAGTACCTTCCTATCAGTCAGTCAGATTTGATATACCAGCGTGCCTTTATCGATGAGATGCCTGCTATTCCGTCGAAGGGATTCCATGATACGTCATTTCGAAAACTGGGCCCCTGAAGAGATTAGCATAAGGGATGGGGTAAAAGACATCCCCCTTTTCCATATCCGCTCGCGTCTAAAAAATAAAATAAGGGGGGTATTGAGGAACAAAAGAACGATCAGAAATCAAGACCAAAAGGGAGCTCATCTTGGTTTCACTGATGGTGGAAAAAACAACCATCAGCTACTCGTCCCAGTCACCACGAAGAGGTGTGAGCTTTCGACTGAGACGCGTGCATACATACATACATACATACATACATACATACAAACAGGATAGTAGGGATACATGTTAAGAATATAGAAAGTCAAGAATGCCCACAAGTACATAACTGAAGTCTCTCCACTAGGCAAGCTGCATAACTCTCCGAGGGCAAGCCCTCAGAGGATATTATGCAGTGGGAGAGCTCAGGGACGCCCGGACCAGCCAACAGACATTGGGACATCAGCGACGGAAACGCCGCCGCAACAGTCCCGCAGCCCGTCGGCAGTTAGGCGTACCCGAACGACCGGAGAAGCTTGGAGCCGGTCAAGAGCGACTTCTATCCTTCCAGAGCTCGCCTTGAGTTCTTCAAGGCTGGTATTCAAGGTGTCAACCCTCCTGATGACTTCCCGGAGGGTGTTCATGAGTGTCTCATGATCAGCCTCAAAAGCGCGAGGCGTTCGTAAAGATCCCTCGAGAGTTCGCTGGGTTGTACCCTGCGCGGTCTCGAGGGATTGATACGATTCCTCGACGCTCCTAAGGCGGTCCCTGACAGAAGTCAGAGCCGCCTTCAGGGAGCCATCGTTCGGGTCACCGAGAATAACAGCCTCGAACAACCCAAGGGTCCTCTTTAGGGATGAGACGTCATCCCTGATTGTCTCAATCTTCTCGGCCTGCGATTTGATAACCGCATCCCCCGTTTTCCCCTGGTTTCTGTACCACAAAACAACCGGCTCACCATACGGCGACAAAAGCACCGCAGTGATGAAACCGATGACCGGAGCGACGAAGGCCATCACCCTCGCGGCGACGACCCAGCCGTTCTCCCCGGCTGTCACCGGCCCAGTTGTTGTGGAAGAATCCAGGGCAGCCATAGGTGTGTCCGACATTACAGGGGACAGGAGGGCAGCAAATGAAAAAGCAAAAAGGGCGACCAGGGCAGGGAACCACATGGTGGGAGTACAGGCTTGGGCTGGTAGTAAACAGTGTGTGTGTGTAAAAGCTGGCAGCGAAGAGAAGAAGAGAAGAAGAGAAGAAGAGAAGAAGAGAAAACATTTTGTCAACGTGGGCATTTCCTAATTAGGAAGACGTGACAGAGCGGTCGTCGATGTGAACTGAAGATGTAAACAAAGGACAGAGACAGGACAGAGAAGAGGACAGAGCAGAGGACAGAAAGCAAGACAGAGCAGGACAGAACAGAGGACATAGTAAAGAAGGTAGATAGAGAACAGACTGGGGAATGTGCTATGCAGGGCAATGATCATGCTCTGTATGAGGGAAAAAGGGTATCTATCCGTGGAAAGTAGAGAGCTATTCACTGTGGTATGATATATTCTAGCAAAGCACAGAGAGGCAACCATACACAACTAACATGATATTACGAAAAGTCCAACTTGGTAAGGACTGTCTATATAGAATGGCCATCGGCTGTCCTGA